TTGTGCTGACAGCGTGGAGCCTGGAACCTGCTTCAGATTCTGTGTCTCCCTCTCTCTCTGCCCCTCCCCCAGTTGCACTCTCTCTCTCAAAAATAATAAATAAACATTTAAAAAAAATAAAAGAATAAATCCTCTAGGAATAATTGTAACCAAGGAGATGAAATCCTTGTACACAAACTACAAAATATTGCTAAAAGGAATTAAAGATTTACATGAATAAAAAGGTATCCCGTTATTATATATTGGAAGGTAATATTTTTTTAAGTTTATTTATTTTGAAAGACAGAGACAGCACGAGTGGGGGAGGGGCAGATAGAGGGGGAGAGATAGAATCCCAAGCAGGCACTGTGCTGCCAGCACAGAGCCTGACACAGGGCTTGAAATCATGAAACCACAAGATCATGACCTGAGCTAAAAGCAAGAGTGGTACACATAAGCAACTGAGACACACAGACACCCCAGAAGACTTAATATTGTTGACATGACAATACCCCCAAAGGAATCTACAGATTCAATACAATCTCTGTCAAAATTCCAATGGCTTATTTGATGTAAATGGAAAAGCTGATCCTAAAATTCGTATGGAATGGAAAGGGATTCAGATTAAAAAAAATTTTTTTTGAAAAAGAAGAAAAGTTGGAGCACTTACACTTACACTTTTTGATTTCTTAACTTACTACAAAGCTACAGTAATCAAAATCTTGTAGTACATGCATAAAGATAGACCTAGAGATGAATGGAACAGAATTAAGAGTCCAGAAATAAACCAATAATGTCTACAGCAAATTAATTTTGAGAAGAGTGCCAAGTACCTTCAATGGAGAAAGACTGGTCTATTCAACAAATGATGCTAAAACAAGTGGATTCCCACATGTAGAAAATGAAGTTGGACCCTTTCCTAATTCCATATGCAAAAATCAACTCAAAACGGATCAATGACTTAAACATAAGTTAAAACTATAAAACTCTTAGAAGAAAACAAGAATAAATCTTCCTAGCTTTTGGATTTGGCAATGGATTCTTAGATATGACATCAAAAGCACAAAAAATAGATAAAATGGATATCATAAAAATTAAAAACTTTTATGCATCAAGGGACATCATTAACATTAAAAAATCTTACAGAATAAAAGAAAATATTTGCAAGTCATATAGCCAATAAGGGACTTGTACCTTGAATATAAAGAACTACTATAATATAACAACAATAAAACTTGGGTAGACATTACTCCAAAGAAGATATGCAAACAACCAATAGGTACATGAAAAAATGCCCAACACCATTAGTCATTAGGGAAATGCAAGTGAAAACCACCATGAAATACCACTTCACACCTACTAGGATAACTATTAAAAAATGGAAAATAACAAGTGTTGCTAAGGATGTGGACAAACTGGAACCCCTGTATGTTGCTGTTGGAAATGTAAAATGATGTAGCTGCTACGGAAAACAGTTTGGCAGTTTGTCAAAAAGCTAAACATAGAATTACCATATGGCTCAGCAATTCTAGTTCTAGGTATATATTTAAAAAATTTCAAAGCAGAGAGTCTAATAGATACTTGTTCGCCAATGTTCAATGAAGTATTATTTATAATAGCCAATAGGTGGAAACAACTTAAATGGCCATCAAGTGAATGGGTAAGCAAAATGTGGTGCACACACACACAGTGGAACAATACTTGGCTATTAAAAAGGGATAAAGTTCTGATACATGCTACAACATGGATAAACTTTGAAAACATGTTAAGTGAAATAAACCAGACACAAAAGAACACATATTGTATGAAAAATGTACCCATTTATAAGAAATATTTAGAATAGGCGTATTTATGGAGACAGAATGTAGATTGGGAATTACCAGGGGCTGAAAGGAGTGGGGAATTGAGAGTTATTGCTTAATGGTTACTCAGTTTCTCTTTTGGGAGATGAAAAAGTTTGGAAATAGTATTGATGGCACACTGTGAATGCAATTAATGTCACTAAATTGTGCACTTTCATGTGCACTAAATGGCAACTTTCATGTTACATATATATTTTACCACAAGAAAAAATGTGAAACATGTTGAAAGTGATGGACCATGAAGGCTTAGTTGGGCAAGGAATGAAGGTAAGGCAGGAGGAGGCCTACACAAATGGAAAAAGCAGAATAGATAAGGGACAGGTGTGTCTGACCACAGTCAAATTTAAGTTTAGGATGGGCCATGTACTTTACTAAGGGCTGTGTGGGGTTACAGAGTTACAAAGTAGGTATACATGCTGGCTCCAGATTCAGATTGCAAAGGTTTGAATATCAGCTCTGCTACTAACCAACTCAATGAAGTTGGCCAAATTATTTAACCAATCAGTATCTCCACTTTCTCACATGTTTTAGGAACTAAATGAGTTAATACAAATAAAGCACATAGTATGGTATCTGGCGCATAGTAAGCACTTAATAAATGTATAAATATTAATCGTTATTATTAGTATACACAACAAAAAGTTCACACTTTGGAGTTGAGACATTCTCAAAGTCCAAGCTTCCCCCCTCTAAGCTGTCTCTAAACACAAGCTCCAACTTACTAAGACTCCAGGGTATAGTATAAAGACACAAATGCTAAAATACAGTAGTAAATTAAAAATTTTGGAAATACAGAAGGAGCTATTAATTCCAACATGGAGAGGGGGGATAAATGTGTCATGAAGACTTCAAAATGACCTGGCATTTGAGACATAAAAGCAGGAAACTGCATAAAATAGTCAGGAAACAATAGCCCAGTGAGGCTTGAATGTAGGTCACATGGTGGGATATAATGGGAAAAACGGAAAATGCCAAAGGATACAGAGCTTTGAAAGCCTTGCTAGGGAATTTGGTGATGTTGTATAGATGAATTCCCATTGAAAATTCCTCTTTTAAATTTGATGGTATGGTGTGCTGTAGGAAGATTAGTTAATTACTTCATGGCAGGAAAGATGAGAAATCCATCCTGATTTTTACCTACAGAGGCAACATTTTAAGAAAAGTAACATCCAGATCAGCCCTGATACTACATGGTGTTGCCTGAATTATTTTTCTAGAAAAGATGAGATGAGCAACAGGGTTTTGACTTCAAGTACATCCCAGGAAAACTTTGGGAAATGACTGTCTCCCATAACTCCCACCTAAGGAGAGCCCATCAGCTTGTTGCCTTGACACAAATACCTGCATACCTCACACTCATTTTTCTCTTTAGCTGATTGGAAATTCTATAGCTATCAATTGATCTTGTGCTCCATAGGCCATTTAAGACCCGGAATATTTCCAAAGGGTCTGCTCCAATTGTATTGTGAAGACCCCAATTCTCAAATTAGTACACACAGCTAGAATTACAAAGGATTAAAAAACAAATTATAAAGAACTTCAAAAATCATCTAAGTTACAGCTGCACATTGCAAAAACCCTACTTTTTTTCACCCTTAATGAACATATGTGGCCAGTTGCCCTTCATTTTAATTCCTAGATGTATAACAGATAAGTTCAGAACTGACCTTAATAGAAATTAAACTAGGGATAGCTTCTAAAACCAGGAGTACATGACAGACACTCTGTTGAGATTCTTTCAGTTTAGGCTTTCCCCAAAATACATAAATTAGGAGAGAGAGGAAGTTCAAAAGAAAGACTAGTATTTGTACACTGAACCTAATATCTGTATTTCCCAATTCTGGGCAGTAAAGGAAACAGAACAAGAACAGCAAAAGGAGGCAGAGGTGACCCCTGATCCAAATCTATACTCTGGCATTCTATGCCAGCCAGAACCTAGTTTTCATTAAGTATACTCAGGAGGAGCTGAAGCAGTATAGAGAACATGGCTTCAGCTCTATAAACTGTACAAATAAGATAGGATAATGGAATTAGGGAATTAATTCCTTCCTAACTACACATCCCTAAAGGACTTTGGAATCTTGTAGCTATCTCACTGAGCTCAACATTCTGAGCTCTGACCAAAAGGGATCAGAACAAACACATTGCTGCCACCAAGGATAGGTGCAAATTACCAAGTTCAAACCATTGGCCAGCAAACAAAAGTAAGGATGAGAGTAAACCATCACCAAGGCAGGGCAAATGAGACTATCCATGAAGCAGTTTCAGTAGTTGGTCTCCAGGAAGACCCTCCTCTGAGGCCCAGGACTACAGGGGAAGGGACTCTCAGATGAAACAGTAAACCTGGTACCCCTGGATGGGCATACCTGGAGGTTGAGGGCACAGTGGGGCTGGGTCCTTTCAGAAACATACTTCCATGGCTTTTCTGAATGGGGATGAGAACCAGGAATCCTCTTGGGAGCTTAAAAGCTTCAAGATATCCTAATGAGATGTCCTATGTTAAAAGGTGAACAGAAGTTCTGGGATTCAGACTGGAATGAAAGTATCTGTGTTCCCTTTCTCCTAGGTCAGTGTCCTTACCCCTTTCCCCAGATCTGCCCAGATGTCATCTAGTAGTAACACATCTAGTAACACTAGTTACATCTGGTAACAGTCCTGTCTTCTTGTGTAGTGCGATTCTATTCCTTGAACATGTTGAAAGTAAAGGATCTATCAATGTGAGCTTGTTTGGTCTGTACCCTCCTACAAACACCGACAGTGCTCTTTATCATCTTTGTGTTATTTGTGCTTTATCTTTCTGACTAGACTTCAACTAAAGAACTACAACAATGTTTTCACCAGTTTTAGCATGCAACTTTATTAACATGTAAATGAAGCCTCAAACGAATACACTATGTCAATATAAACCACAGAAATATAGCTTGCTCAGCATGAATAGGTTCATTATCAGGTCACGTTGCAGAAAGATTAAAAATATCTCAATTTAAATAGCACAGTAAAAATCAACAAACATTCAAGCTCTCAAGATCATTTGGTATGCATAAAGTTGCCTCCATCAACCAACACAAATAACAAATAATGAACTTACAATTATTATATGCATAGCTTCATATTATAACACAAAAAAATGTTCATGGCTCTGTGAGAACATACAGCTATTTAGAGTTTAAGTATTAATCGTATAACTTTATCTCTCACCTCAGGATCACTGTGCTCTACTAAGTCTTGGAGTTTCTGACCAAACTCTTTTGCTTCCTGGAATATGGAAATAAGCTCAGATTTAGTGAACTCTTCTTTGGTAAATAGCTTCACCTTCTTTTTGAATTGGAAATTTATATTCTCAAATATTTCAATGATATTAAGAATATTAGCCTTCGACTCATTCTTGTTAAAGGGTGCAACCAATGATGACAGTACTTTGGCACTAATCAGTTCTCTTGTATTGGCTTGATTTTTAGACAAGCGCAAAAACACTTTTAAAACATAAAACTTGGTTTTGACACTTCCTTTGCTTAACAAGGTGAGGAAATCTGGAATGTAATTAATAATTATATGGTGATCCTCAAATTTCACACTCAGGTGCACTAATAATTTTAGTCCAGCCAGTTGCACAGGGGAGTTCAAGGGATAAGAGAATATGTCCTTACAAACTTGATATACATATGACTCTCCTGGTTTTGGTTCTTCAGAAGACTCAGAGTTGTCATCTACTATATTTAAAGCTCTAGGGTGTTCTATAACATTGGGATTATTGACCAAGTTTTCAATCATAACAGTAATACCTACATCATGAATTATATCTTGGGTAAATGGATAAGCAGGACTAATGCCCATTATCATTGTTGCTATTTCATGAATAAAAGGATCCTTAGTTAACTTAAGTAGGGCAACGAGTTTATCGAACTCTTTAGGCTCTAAACTAAAGTCACGTGATTTACAGCGGCAGGCTCTTGGATTGGGCCCATACTTTTCTCTATACCTAACCTGGCTTTTGATCTCAGCTAAGGTTTGGAAGTAAGGTCCATTATAGGGTGGGATCTTGGTCAGAGGCCGAATCCCCAGAGGAGTTTCAATCAAGGTCTCAACGAGAGTCCAATTCCCTTCTGGAGGCAAGGATGGCTTCCCTCCCTCTATTGGGACTAGGACACTATACCTGGCCCTTGACCATGCTGCTGCTTTTTGTTTTATAGTGAGTTCAGGTTTGGGTATGGGCTTGGGCTTTTCCTGGATCTTAGGTGGAGGCTTATAAACTTGAGAAGGAGTCTCCTCTTCAGGCCAGAACCAGGATCCTACACTAGGCTCTTCTCCTGTCCAGAACCAGGAGCAGACATTTTCTTCATCCTCATCACTGGACTCGATTACAATACCAGCTCTGTCCCCAGCCCCAGCCCTGAATTTGATGCTGTCCTCTCTCCTTCTCTGGGACCTGGACTCAATATTGACCTTATCATCAGCCTTGGCAAAGGACCTGATATTGGTTTCACTTCCAGCACCAGCCTTGACTTCGTACTTGGTCACAGCACTGACCCTGGCCATAGGCATCAGCTTTGACTTGATTTGGGGCACTATACCAGGTTCTGCCAGGGATTTTGCCTTAGTCTCAGTCATGACTCTAGTCTTAGCCATAGCTTCCATCTTGCTCACATCCCTGTCATAGCCACGGCCTCAGTGTAGGTCACTGTCTGTGTCCTGGCCACTGCTCCATCCCCAGACTTGGCCTGGATCTTAGCCTTGGCTCTAGGGTTGGCAGGGCCACTGATTCCAGCTTTTAGGCAAACCTCAGCCCCTCCTCTGCCCCTGCCTTACCCTCAGAGCCAGTCATGATCCAAGTTAAAGACAAGGCCACGTTCTATACCTCCAACCCTGTCTCGGCATTGATTGAAGGTCTGTCCCAGGTTGGTGTTTTCATACAAAGTCCAGTCGTCACTCGGCCCTCTTTCCAACTACAGGCTCTGTCAATGATATAAACAACGTGCAGAAGAAGCTCACTCTGGGAAAGGAAAAATGGCTGTGTGCCTGAGCGCAGCCCTGTGGAGGGTGGGTGTCTTCAGCCACTCCAAGGCCACCAGATCTGCCATTGAAGTTGGACCTAGGGGTGGAGGAAGGAAATGGGGCTTTGAGTCTCTTCCAATTTATTTCTTATGTTGATTAGCACAGAGAGACAGGAGAGTTATGGACATTCAGTGCTAAGTGGGAGAGGTAGATACTTAGCACACTCTGTCCTCATTTCACACTCTCTACAAAACTGAAGGTGCTACTAATCTTGTTTGCAGACACAAAACATAAGTATGGAGAATGGGTGAGAAAGCTGAATGGGAGTGAGAGAGGCTAAGGAATCCCTAGACTGGCTCTTTATCCCTGCTGGACCCAAGCAGATCTCTACTACTTCATCCTACAGGTCTACTGGGGAAGTCTCCATACTCATACCAAACTTCACTGATCTGGAGAAATTTTCTCCTCCTTTTCTTGCTTCCAATGTTGACAAGACTTACAGCAGACCTACAGGCAGATCGATGGACAAATAAACAAGAGGATATGGAAACTGATCTCTTGCTTAAAAGATCTTGGTCCCTGGTCCCTGTATTTGTAGTTTGTCTAGTATTTGCCTCCTTCTGGTCCCATAATCCCATTGCCCTAATTCAGGACTGACCCTCCTCCTCCCTGTTGCCCACCATTTTCTTGATCAGTGACTGCCCTTCCATTTCTCTCATTCAAAATTGGCCTGGGTGAATCTTAAGAATAGGAAAAGAAAGTGGGAAATAAGAAAAACAAGTAACTTCCTATACCCCCAAAGCTTTCAAAGACTCCCAACTACATCAGCAGAGGACCAAACAGTGATTACTAAACTGGAGAACAAAAGAGAATAGAATTATCTAGTCTCAATCATCTTCTGTCCCTCTACCCTCACACCAATCGTAACAGACACAGGGCATGTTTCTCTTCATTATTTTCTAAGTTCAAGTTGGGCTGTGACTTGCAAATCTCCACAACTGAGAGTTCCACAGACCTGGTGATGGTTCTGTACACAGAGATTCACAAATGCAGAGATAAATAAAAGGAAACACAGGAGACAATGGAGACTGGGTCCTTGGAAGGTATCAGCACCTGAGATCTGTATCCTTTCTGGATACAGGTACCTGTTTGCCAAAATTTTCTGCACCTCTCCTTCTTCTCCCTCCCTCCAAGTTCCTCTGCTCCATTCCAAAAGTCTGACAATTCCCATGCACAGACAACTCAAATATCCCTGCAAGATAGTGGTAGTGATAGTAGAGATGGAAGGCTCAGACAAGCCATGGAAGTTGTTTGGAAGTCAATGAAAAGTATGATTTCCAAATTTCAGGTAAGCTCTTATGTTTCCTTCCTTTTCCTAAAGCCTATCATTTTCTGCAACACAACAGGAACAAGGGAGGACTGTCTAGAAAGCATGCAGAAAGGAGATCTGGAGTGTCCCCTAGACTCCTACCTATTCTAGTCTTAGCCATCTACCAACTCCAAGCACTGCCCACCCAGGAGAAATCAGGCCAAGTTTCCTTTTCTTATCCCCTTCCTTTGTGGTCCGCGGGCCTCTACAGATCTTTACACAAACATGCTGTACCAAAAACTTAAGAACAGGCCTACACATATAAACACAGGTTACACCCAAAGACCAAATGAAAAGACAGTCGGAGAGACTTGATTATTAATAATCAGACTAGTAACCAGTACATGAAACGATATTCTAATCTAATCCAGGGTCATGATTATCAAACAGTTACAACTTCTTTTCACACTCTCTCCCTCCCAGGGTTCCCCGAACAACCGTTCTCACCGGCAGCAGCCGCCCCTCCTGCTATCATATAAATCGCCATTTCTGTCCTAGAAGCCGCTACTATACTCCTTTACCTTCCCAAACACGGGATTAGTGTTTGGAAATCAAGCTAGCAAGAAGCGGATCATTTTAAATTTATAGTTGTGTGCCACTCAAATTACCCCTGACCCCTCCCTCTCACCGCTGGCGCCCTAGACCAGGTCACTTATCCCACCTTCCTCTGATACCCATCTCCACACTCCCAAGTGATTCCCGCCTTCTCACTGACCTGCTTTGCTCGGATCAGAGGGAGTTTTCTTATTTCCTTGCCTCAAGGGGGTGCCGTGATCTACAGAAAGAGGGACGGACAGTCAGATGGATACGAGGACACGAGACAATGGCGGCGACTATGTTTGGGGACTGGCCCGGCACCTGGGATTTAGGACGCGCGATACCTGCTTCGTCAGAGTAAAAGCTGTAATTGGCAAACGATTGTTACTTTTCGGTATATCCCTTCCTCCCGTCCCCAACCCTCCTCTGGGACGCACGCGCAGCGACTTATTAACAGCTACCTTTTCCTCTGCAGACTTTGGCCACGTCCCCAATACCAAAAGCGGCAGCGGGAGGAGCTAGAGCGTAGTGTAAGGGGATCCGGCTTTATGTAGGCGGAATGATACCAAGCTTTGCATGGCGCCACTTCGCCCTCTGTCTGTGAGCTCCACCCTGGCTATTTCTCCTGGGAAGTGCAGGGGCAGCATCTGATTATAGAGGAAGCAGCGCTGGACGGAGAGAAGGAAGCCACTATCAAAGGGTCTCGGCATTAGTTCCCCTCTTTCAAGATCTCCCCCACCAGGCCTACATTTTTTTTTTTCTTGAACTGAAACGCATGCGACTTTCGGGGGTCACTTTGCTCTGGCCTGATCTTGCGGAAGGATACCGGAGTGTTGTGTTTACACATTTCACCTTTCCAAAGTCCTGGGCCCACCTAAATAGGTGGGTTGGGGGAGGGGACCAAGATAAAAGAGTCTGGAAAGAAGTTCAAGACTGAGAGAAGGGAGCGCATCCTAATCTGTTCTAAAGCTGTGTCCCCTATGAGAGAAGTCCCTCCAAACTGCCGTTCCAAGCATTTAATTCTGTGCACGAATTGGGCTACTGTGGGATTGGCTTCTAGAAAACTGCTGTGGTCTAACCTGTGATCAATATCAAACACCTTAGGCTTTCATTGCTTCTCTCCCCTAAGTCTCTCATCTTTATTACTTATTATGTTTCTTGCACTGAAATAGTCGAATGTAAGGTGGGGTAAAGATATAGGGAAAACAGTGATGGACGGAGAGAAGCATATTAATACCAAATTACCCCTGTGTGTACCTGTCCCATTCTCAAGCTCTGCCTCCCCTCCTCATGTTCACGATATTTCCTACATCTAAATATGCATGGGCCTGAGCATGGGCAAGAGGAAAACAACTCTGTTCTCATGAAAGAGGATTAATATTCAAGTAACTTTGTACCAATAAATTACCCGTACTGGAGGTTCTAGGGTGGCCTTCCTAAGTTTTTTCATTGTTCATTGGGCCATGGAAAGGAAGAAAGTGGGAGGGGGCTCCCACGGAGGCCTCATCACTGTCTTCTAAAGGAAAGCAGATCTTGACCTCTAACTCAAAGAAATGAACCACTAGTCTGTGCCCAGAGTCATTCTTTCTACCACACTGTTGTTTTTTTGTTCTCATTCGAAATGGTAGCACACTGTGCCATTTCCAGGTCCCCACAGTTGCCCAAGAAAAAAGACTTGTCCCTGTAAGGATCCAGACCGGGTCATGTGCTCCTCCCTATCTGTCACCTCACAGCCAGGTGTCAGGCACTAGGTAGAGCCAGTTCTGGATTCTCTTACATGCTCCTCTCTGAGGAAAAGGGACACTACTCATGCACTTCCCAAGGTAGATCCTAGCTGCTTTCATGACTCCTTTTCTTTTACCACTACATTCTGCCTAATGAATCCATATGCTCTTTCTCCCTGACTATATATATTTCTTTGAATTTCCATTCTGAGCAGTATCAGGAGGGAATTTGAATTAGACTGTAATTTAAATTACATGAATTCAAATCTCCTTTCTCAGTCTTTGTTTCCCCTGTTCTCAGGCTTGTTCACCACTGTATCCTCAGTGCCATACATGGAAGACAAAGTAGTCAGTTAATAGTTGAAGGGGTTGAAGGCCATTGAATCATGAGAATTCCATGGTATCTTCTGTTGGTTGTAGATCAATGGCTGTCTATAAGTGTCTTTGTCTTTGATGTCTGTAACTCCAGGGCTTAGCCCAGAGTTTGCCACACAGGAGATGCTTTATATGTAATTTTTCTATGGAGGAAGAAAGCAAGGGTTTACCAAAATATATTTTAGAAAGAAACCTGGTATCTTCATATCTTATATTGTAATTACATTTGGAAGATACATATAATTTGGATTTGGTATTAGTGGTTTGTTATTCTTTTTTTGTCTTCTATTCATGTTTAGAATTATGCCTTACTAAGCTCCCGAGTATATAGCAAACCCCAATGAATTTATAAAGAAAATATAATGACCAACATCCCGATAGAAAAATAGGCAAATAAATGAACAGACTGTTCATTAAAAAGACAAGTCTATGTTTCTTAAGTATATGAGAAAATATTTCATCTCACTGGTAATCTAAGTGCAAATTATAATTACAGTGATATATTGTTTTTCATCTATCATATTGGCAAAGAACAAAAGATTTGGAAACAAACTGTATTGGAGAAGAGGTGAGAAAACTGGCATTCCTATACATTATTAGTTGGAGTATGAATTGTTACACCCTCTGTGAAGGTTATTTGGCAATGTTTATCAAAATACTAATGTACATAACAATTGACCAGCGATTATACTTTAATAAACTATCCTAAAGTATTATTTGTACATTGAAAAATGCTATATGTATAAGGATATTCACTGCAGAATTGTCTTAATAGTAAAAGATTGGGAATTTTTGAAATAATCATAAATAAGGGAAGGTTAAATAAATTTTAGTGTATCTCCATGCAACATGCAGCTGTTAAAAAGAACGAGCAGCTCTATCTACATATACTGATACAGGAATGATGTCCAAAACACATTTTTAAGTGAAGAAAGCAAGATGCATAACAATGTTTAGTGTGCCATCATTTGTTTAATAATATTTTATTTTATTATATATATGCATATAATGAATATCTCTGTTAATATCAACAAGTAACTGGTAATAGGGCTTGTTTTTTGTTTTGTTTGTTTTTTGTTTTTTGTTTTTTGTTTTTTGTTTTTTTTTTTTTTGGTTTTTTGGAGGATAACCTATTGGCAAAGATGTGAAGTACACTTGATGACTTATGTGTATGAACTTCTGTGCTTTTTGAATTTTGAACCTCATGTTTGTATTAACTATTAAAAATTGTAATTTAAATAAAATATTCCTTAGCATCTGAGGATATTTAAAAACTTAAACCACATGTTCTTAGAAATGCTAAACTCCTCAGGCCTACATACCTGGACTCTAAGCTCGGCCACCATGTCGGTAAAAGACAATAAGAGAGTCCTTTTTGTTTGTTTAGGAATGTTTCCAATTCTGTAATAGCATTAATGAGGGTAAATGGCTTACCCTCCGGATTTGAAGGACAAGCTTGTTCCAAGAATCCTTTATCTACGCACTTCTCCTGTGCAATTCACAATCTAGTTTACTAAGTAAGTCCATAATAAATGATGTTCTAGTACTAATACTACTACTAAAGATAATGCTTTCCATTTAGAAGATTGTGTTTGAATCCTTACAGAAATGTGATGTGAAACAGCACTCTTGATACTCATAAAACACCCAAGGAGTAGAAAGGGTAGCTATTGAAAATAATGATTATGGGAGCTATGCTTTATATTTCATAGGCATCTTTATTGTTTTGGAGAGGTTCCAGATTTGGGCCCTTTCATTGGAGGAAACAGAGAACAGTGAGATAATAGTTCTCATGATCATACTTTTAATTGAATTCATACGTTGCTTTAGAAATGTCCCATATTCTGAAAATGATTTAGTTTCTTTTCTATTGCATCATTTTCTATTGAAATTTCCAGGAATGTCTGTTTTACACATGCTTTAACTTATTTTTTATTACCTAAGTTATATATGTTCACAGTTGAAAACCTAGTAATTATATGAAAATTAAAAGAAAAAGATATTGCATTTCCTAACACTGATAAATACTCCTAACATTTTAGTATATATCCTTCCAGACTTTTAGAAATGCAAATATGTGTATATATATTTACACACTGCCCCCCAACACACACACATCTTCAAAAAAAAGATTTCATTATACTTATTTCATTGTAATAAATTATCTTTCCAGCAACATAAAACATTCTGTTATTTCTCCCATTTTAAAAACATACTATCTTGAGACCTCTCTTTCCCCAACACTTGTGCCTCCACTATTTCTTGCTTCAAAGATTTTTCTACTTATTTATAGTATTATTTCAATTTTCTTTCTTGAAATTATGTTTAGGAAAATTTTAATGACATAAGGAAAATTCTTGTGAAATGATGCCAAGTGAAAATATATATATATTCTCTAAAACAATTTCATCCAGAATATAAATTATAAAAAGAAATAACATGTGCAAAGAAAAGCAAAAATCAGCAGTAGTGATTGTATTTATGGTTTGGATTATGTGAGATTTCTCACCATAATTTTATATCCTTCTGTATTTCCCACATTTCTACAATAAGTATGTTATATTCATGAAAAAGTCAGTATTATTTTTTTAAAGGACCCCACTGTGGATTTTTTTTAAATTGTGGAAAAATACAGACAACATAACATTTAACATTTTAATCATTTTAAAGTATACAATTCAGTGGCATTAAGTACATCCAAAATGTTGTACAACCATCATCATTATCTAGTTTCAGAAATTATTCAGAAACCTCATGCCACTAATCACTCACTACCATTCCTCCCCCACCCAGCTTCTGGCAACCACTAATCTGCTTTCTGTTGCTGTGGCTCACCTATTCTGGATATTTC